AAAATCTTAGTTCCTCCAGTGTAGGCTGCAATTTCGACCTTGCCTAGGTTTCGCCACCACCTCCAGCGGGATATGATACTGGATTGGCGGAATCATGGCGAAACCTACCACTCCACTACGTGGTAACGGGTATTAGTGAATCAAAGGGAGGATGCAGCATCCTAAGCAAGACAGACCTCTCATAACTCTTACTTTTTAGTATACAAGAACATATTGTAAGAGGATTTCTAGACGTTACTGCTGCAGCCAAGAATGCTCATGTGATGCCTGAATGATTAATTTGCAATTTGGTCGCATGAGAAGGAAAATATGGATAGAGTTATGGATTTTATAAACCATAATAATAAAAGGATCAAACACACAATGAAAGTAAAGAAAGGGTGGTTATAGAAGTGGATTGACCTCGTTGTCGCAACTTGGTCTTGCGGTCAGGGTGACTTAGTAGAACGCAACTAGTCCGAATTCGTCTGCGATAGTAGTTGTCATGATTCCCCGAATCAGAGAGTGGACTTGGTACATTCTTAAACGTTTCGCCGACATCGTAGTCAGCATCATCAGTGAGTTTTGCCATTCTCCGCACCAAGCTACGAACTCTTCAAAGAGACAGATTAAGTCAATCCCTCGATAAATGTTCGAGGGATTGTTAAATACTTATTTAAGAATTACTTACTGATTTACTTGCCGAGACTAAGTAATCTCGTCGATTGTAATGGCAAGAACATGTTTGCTCAGGCAAGAATAATACGATAAGAGTGAATCTTGCACCTGCCCTGTACCTTACTGGCACTCCTGGCCGCGTATTTAAGTGGTAAGCGCCACTACGATACTCACTTGGCATTGAATATCGCTGAGGGTGTTGATGGGCCCTAGAATCACCTTAAGATACTAGGGTGATCTAATTTTTATTTAAGAATTACTAATAGTCTCGGATTCTACTTTATCTCAAATATTTTCTAAATCTAATTAAGAGTAGTTAGAATTAAAACCACATTTGAACTTATTTTTCATCATATTTAATTCAGTTCTGTAAACAATAAAAGGTAGCAAACCATGTGTTTTCGTATGCATAACTATTTTAAATTTATATGGGAACCTTAGCCTTGATCGCTTTGGGTTGTCGAAGATTAAATATTGTTTTAGAGACTTTTATTTAGTAGGAAAGTGCATGGTGAAGAGATTGGTAAGTCGATCTCATCAGAAGGCGACAGCTAATTACAGCTTTACTTTAGCCGTTTGACTTTAATACGACTTAGTCCAAGAAACATACTCGCTCATTTCTGGCGAAAATGGGCTGAACTGTTGCTTGGTATATAAGGAACATAATCAGGCCTAGAGCTCATTCTTATGAGTGCCGAGCCAAGAAGACTGAACGGCTCTTTCTGCCCGATACACATACTTAACGATAAAAATATTTTTAGATATAAAGGTTTGATAGATTCTCTTATACTCAAGTGCGTGTCGGTGTATATCTATTAACTGAGATGTATTCAACCTATTTAGTTTAAGGTGATGAAGGACTGGTAGTAGAATTTTCCCACAATGATATGAGTAGAGCAGACGTTTCCATTGAATTTCACGTAGCCTTGTTTTCCCAAAAGTTTTTCTCATCCAGTATGGACTGCAGTTTCGACCTCGCCTAAGTGTTCTCAACATTTCCAGCGGGAGTCGAATCGTGACAGTGCAGCATGTGATCTTGACACGTTAACCATTCAGGCAAATTGTCATGAGTACCCTTCGGTCACAGGGTAGATGTGAAGTTAAGAAAGTCAGGCCTTCTTCTATATCACATTCTTTGGTGGGATTGTTGATGAAGCAAACGTATTTAATGAAATCTAAGACTGTACGCGTGAAATTCAGGTTACGAAGCCACCAGTCCGAACCCGTTAGTCTAGGATCGTTAAGGTTCAATGACCCAAGGATAAGAATGGCTAGGGTAGCGTAGTCTCACATGCTTATTTTGGTTGATTAATTTGCGATGCCCATTGAATGAGTGTAGATTTAGTTCAGACAATTATTCAGCTGACAAGTTGAGTCTTTTTGGACGGCGGCTCGTCACTCCTTCAATATTTCAATAGAGCATATGTGACTCATATTAAACTTTCTACCATCAGCCCTTACGACAAACTTGTTCCCTAAACTATTAATTTATATAGCCTCTCTCGACATCCTTTTAAAAGCAGATAGACCATAATCAGCAAACCATTGCACTTGAGACCATTCTATCTGATATCTAGTCTTCAGACGCCTGTGACCGTTCGACCAAGCTGTCTTTACAAGCACTTTTGTACCCCTCTAATCGACCACAATCTTGCTACAGCCAAATCGTTATGCGACATACAGACATACACTTAATCATCTAACAGTTACTTTTGGGCTTACGAAATTCCGGTCCTGTTTTTCCTTTGGTCGGGCTTTTTTGTAACTCGTCGGTATTGCGTATACTGACTTGTACGAACAAAGATATATTCAATTACAAATACTCTGATTCCCTATTTGTCTATCTTTACATATTTTGGGTTCTAATTTTTGTATGTATATAGGATATACGATAGAGTCAGATAGCCTTGACTTAAGGTTAGCTTAAAACTTCTCCAAAAATGAGTTCCAGCTCTAGTAATGTTCGTCTCATGAGGGATGAGACCTCAGCCATATTTTATCTGAAACGAGAGAGGAAATTTTGTAGACTATCAACCTGATCTTTAAATTAGATCCAACGATTTTAGGACAACGAAAAGCAGTGGTCGTCTTGTGGTGATATCGACCTATTAATCGCTTCATCATGCACTTTCATACGAAATGAATCTCTCGAAAACAATTTTACCTCAAAATAGTTATCTAAACCCAATTTTTACGTTATGTAAACTAAAAGCCTGACTAATCATCATATATAGATTTCAATGTACAGTCATGCAAGTACTTCAGCCCAAAGTAAGCCCATTATCTATGACAGAGAAACCCAATATATCAGCCAAATTTCATCAAGAGAATTTGGTAAATGAGATCAGATGTAATTTCGCTTCTACTGAGTACTATACAAAATAACCAAATCTGGGCGCAGTTCTAAGGCACATGTAAATACATTAAAGACTGTATACTAAAATAATTTTATAGAACAGATATTTAATATAATTGACTTAAGGAAGGCATCTCCATTGAGTATTATCACAGCACTTCGCCTAAACTGTCCATAAGTCAAAACTAAGGCAATTCATGTATAATGATTTATTCTATAGACCTGTGTTCTCATGCGGCATTATGCCCTGCTCAAATCGAGCGCCTGTCAACTGATCCCAAAGGTTTTTAGCTCGATATCAATTTTCTCTACTGCTCTTAGTCGTCTCAAAAACTTTTTAAATCAATGATCGGTAAAAAATATGAAAAATTCATACAAGGCATAATGATATTTCATATGTTGGCGGCATACTCCACATGGCTTGGTGGATAGGATAAATATAAGAGCATTATAGTTAAATTAACTAGGGGAAATATCAATAGAAAAAATGCTGATTCCGAAATCAATTAATATGCAGCCTTACATATTCATAGTAGCTTAAAGGACCGGCCCAGCAATAACGTCGCCTTATGTGACAAACAGGAAAAAAAAGTAATTTTACATGACAACCACATTTTATTCGCCTTTTATATGTCTGATAAAGAATTGGTACGAAAGCAATATTACAGCCTGACAAATATGTCAGTTAAACTTTTTTAGAATATCACCACCTCAAAATATTCACTAATGCTTCGAAGGCTCAGGGACAATTCCTTTCATGCATCAGCACAATAAAGTGCAGAAAATCAATTAAATTAGCTAGTTTTGTGATCCACCTCAGTTAAGAGATATACTATAGATCCTATGCTTTAAGAGAAGCGTTCTGATAAACAAACAAAAGCTTCCAAAAAAAGATTTATTAAATGCCATTAGATATATATAGAATATGTTCATCCTATTTCTTTTAAGGCGATGAAGGACTGATAGTTGAATTGCCCCATACTAATATAAGTAGACCTCACTTTTCCATTTAATTTCATATAGCTTTGCTTCCAAAAAGGTATTTCATCCAGTGAAGCAAGGCTATATGAAATTCATTAGAAACTTAAGACTTACTCATAGAATTGTAGGAAAACTCGAATACCACCTTATGAATGAGGTGTATGCATTTCGTCTATCTGATTAACTGGTAATCTCGAAACCTTGCTTATAAAAAAACTAATGTCATTATTTGGAAAGCGACCTTAAAGAATGGGTAGATTATTGTATCTGATAATTCGGAATTCGATTCCACATAGGAAAAGTGAAACCACAACGGTTGTCATAAGAGTAAAACCAATTATTGAAGTTGATAAGGAGTAACCAGGAGGTATAAGCTCAAAAACAAGATTTGTTTTTTGTTGAAAAAGTATAGATTATAACTCAATAAGTAAACAAGTGTAAATTAAGAGAATGCTGCAAAGGCTCCCTCGTTAAGGCAAACCTTTAGAGAACCTATAAGAGTGGAATGATTCTCGATAGAATAGGAAAAATCTTAAAGATGCGCAGCTAAAAAGAGAGCATATAGAGGTAATGAAATAAGTTGAATCTAAAGTGGAAAAAAAATTACAGAAATTAAAACTTCTGTTGCCTTGTATTCTCTAAGAAAATGACGGTTAATAAGTAAAGTTACTAATAGATAAATAAGTACAGCTTACATTAGAGAAGAGTTAAATATGCCGTCAAATTGTTCATCACCATCATCGAAAAATAGTTTTGTACGAGAATTTATAATGTGAAAATGCAATGGACAGCTAAGGAAAAGAAGATGCAGACAACCCAGATGCGAGATGTCAAGGCTAGTATAGATAAACGCATGTTTGTGAACAAAAATGAAAGGGCAATGAAAATCAAAGGAATAATTACATGCAATATATCCCATATTCGCTTTAAGAAACGGTAACGATAGTGTTACTCGAGGAAGATAGGCAGTGGAAAAAAAAGAGTGAAACTTACAAGCTGGTAAATATTAGACATGCACAGGTCGCAGGACTAGAATAACATCATTGAGAGAATAGAAAGCACGTGAAAAATCTCCTTCACAAAGATATGGCAGTCTGGTAAAACGTATTAGCTCAAAACCAGCAGGCTGGAGCACGTTGATGACCAGACTATTCAGTTGAACCTCCCAGATTTTACTTCCAGAAATGTCAAGAGTTTCACTTGGGTGGCGATCTGGGGCAGCTATAAGACAAAAAATATACGTTGAATATGGATTAAAAGAGAGGAATATCGCGCCCTATTGTCCTAGCAGTATATAGTTATTAATAGCAAAGCAAAATTTCAAAAATCAGATCGAATGAGATAGACACTAAATTCAAACATTTTATTATTAATTAAATAAATTACTAAAATATATGCTACAATTAGAACAAATAGATGTGAGATCTTTGAAGAATGTATATCTCACAGCAGATTATCAATGGTTATAAATAATCGTTGATATGGATTTTTCACACCAAACCATGACAACTAAAGTTCTGAAATATCCGTCTTGCTTTGCATAAAATATTGACACCAGAGTTAAAGGTTCCATGAACAACTGAGGTTGCCATACACATTCATTCCGCATTCTAACCTTTTCAGAGACACTCCAACTAATAAGATCAAGACTGCAGTGCATTCTGGTAGGAATAGTGCTTTGATAGGAGAAATCCACTGTTTAAGTGAACAATAGCATGAATTGAGGCGATCCTTAAAAAACTTACAGTAACAGTTAGTTAAGAGATAGTAAATTTGGAGAGACAGAGAAGAGGCAAATAATATCTTCTTTAACTTTCCTAACGAGCTTGGTCAAAGGATCGATTTTGCTTGGTCTTTTGATCAACAGTGAGGTAGCACCATAAATGACAAAGCTCATCGATGATGCTGACTAGAAGTCTGGGAATATTCCAAATCCATGTTCCGACTTTGGAAATTATCCTGCATATTATGGACTTCAGACATGGTGTATTCCTTTGGCCCCCACTGACAACGAGATCAAAGAACTTCTATACACTGAAAGGAGACCACTAACATACAAATAGCTACACCAGCTTGATCTTAATACTTTAGATTAAGCACGTTTATTCTTTAGTGAATATTTTAGAAAGGAGACAGCGAAAAGTGATTTTTTTAACCAAGTGTCATGCTTTGTGCCTGAATTGGTTTTCCATAAAATACATATTTCAATAATAATAATAAAGTTTATAAGATAATGCATGACTCTTCGTTGAAAATAGTGAAGTTATTTAGACAAAAAAGAAAAAATAGATTAATATAGATCATTGAGGTTACTCTCCACATATTGATTGAGTGGCAGCACTATTGCCAAAAGGAGGATGCCGGTTTCTGGTGTAAGGCTAGAGTGAATCTGACGCAGCAAGGTGATGGGTCGGTCGCAGCGATCTAGCAGATTAAGACAGCTTATCACATCATAAGGTGGTCCAAGTTGATGTCGGCCTGTCCCTGTCGAATTGACATGAGGCTCATCTTTCAAAATGGAAGCAGGAACATGCCAAGAGTTGACATCGACCACCCTGGTACAGACATCACAGAAGAGAATTGAAACTTCATACGAAATCTCCATAGCCTATTTCGATAAAACAATACAGAGTATTTGAGCTGTGACATTGGGCTCGCTTACCTTTGCTTCCCAAAAAGTTTCCTTATTCAGAGTGAGCTGCACTTTATGCGAAGAAAAGTTGGGTTTCGAGGAATCTCTCGTTTCATAATTGTTGAGCTTACTTCCATTTCGAATGAAAGTGTTTGGTGAAGAGATTCGAAGGTCGATTGCACCACAAGACGACGACGGATTCCTCTTGACCAGCTGTCGAGTTAGCTTGAATCTGTTTGTGACGATGATACCTTGTTCTGATGATGTTCGTCATGTAAAGAACGAAGGCTTAGCACCGTTTCGCCCGAATCGAAAGAGAGTACCTTTGAAGCATCGTCAACACGAAGGTTCCAATATAGTCAATCGACAGCCGGTTAAGAGAAATCCGCCATCGTCTTCTGATGGAATCGACCTTCGAATCTCTTCACCAAACATGTTCACTCGAAATGGAAGTAAGCTTAACAATTACACTTTATTCTGGGTACTATTGGTACCCTCAACAACATTTGAAACCAGATGGAGCGCAGCAATCTGTGCTGAGTTACAGAGCACGTATAACCATCAAAGAAAAACATTTCCTATTTCTAAATAATTTGTTCATGCTACGTAGTCACAAAGTTTTCACCAAAAGGAGAAAAACTTAGCTACTCTAAAAAATTACCCCAAATATTCACTTAGAGGACTCAACGTTGAGTCAAAATCGCTCTAAGAAGAGTCATTTTCCTGCTGTGCAGCAAAAAAAATTAATAAAAACGCTGGCCAAACGACATGGCTGTTAGAGGACTCTGCTTAAATTTCAGTGCTGGGTCAGGACTGTCCCTTCAATGCAGAAGTCCAATCGACTATGACATGAAAAAATGAGGTGCCACACACCATAAGCAACACGCTGAGCGGAAACATTTCATTAAAATTACAGGAATAGCTTATTGTTTCGAAGCCCACTCATAAAAATAATAAGTGACGTCAATTCTAATGATGCTCATGGCTGTCGAGTGGTAACGTTCCGCCACGATACTTATTACCTGATTTCAAAAACTGTTGATAGTATTGATGATATCTAGGCGAGGTCGAGGCTGTAATCAACAATGGATGAGAAAATCTTTTTGATGCAGACCTAAATAAAATTCAATTACATCGCAAGGTTTACCCATATCATTGTGAGAAAACTCCATTATCAGTTCTTAAATGACCTGAATTGACCTATGGTGACAAATAAAATGTTAATTAATCTGCTTTGTGAAAATCATGCCTAAAGTCTAAGATTGTTGAGGCAGAGATTTCATCGAACCTTATGACATGTTTTGGACCTCAATCTCAAACCAGTGCTTGCTATATAAATAAATGTAGTAGGACCGTTTATGTAAGAGTAATAAAAATGCCGGTTATAACATAAAGTATAACAAGATACCTCAGGCCATTAATATAGATGTTTTCATAGCTCTAAATGTAGAAAATTCACCAAATATTTACAAGGAAATCTGTCGGATTATTCTTAGAAAATAAGATAAATGATTAAACATCAGACCTATGGCAGATAAAGGATTTGAAAGAAAAAAATCATATCAATCAGATATTTAAATGCATTTATAAAAATATTGTTGGAGGCTCCTGAAGAGGAATTTGGACAAAAATAAGCTTTAATTGCATGTATATGGCCAAAACATGGCTTTTGAAATTATATATTCTTAATGAATGTGTGGATATGATGGCGCAGTTAACCAAAAAGTATAAACCTTTTATATACGAAGAGAAATTGGGTTTCGATGACATTGTTAGGGGCACCTTCATTTCGTATGAAAGTGCATGAAGAAGAGATTCGTTGGTCGATCTCACCAGATGAAGACGGATGAAACTCGTTGTACTGCAGCCGGTTGGATTTTATACGATATTCATGTTGACGCAGTCCACGGGAGTAAGGGGCAAAAGTAGGAGGACAAGTATGAAAGATAATTAGCCAAACGATTCTATATCCATCTAGGTTTTTAATTTTCTTTTGGCTTAACTTAGTCTATATAAGAGGTAAGAAAAAGCCGGATAGTCTTCTTGGCCTAGTGTTAATAGTTGACTTTTACAGGAATGACACCCAGCTCTGATGATGTCCATCATATGATGAACGAAAGCTCAGCACGTTTTCACCCGAAACG